GGTGGCTCTCTCCACGTTTCTTTCTCTCTCTCCCCCTTCCACTCTCTCTAAAAAGCAATGGAAAAAAATGTCCTCTGCTGAGGATTAAAAAACAAAAAATTAAAATGCAGAGTTGATTAATTTCTGGGTTTAAATGGAGGAAAGCAAGATCTCAGCCAATGGTCTTAAGTTTTAAAATATGGATGCACCTGTACCATGAAGTTGAAGGCGGCAGAAGCTTCTAGAATGCTAAACCACAAACAGATCCTGAAAGTGATGATTATCTTCAGCATGAACAGCAAATATGTATTAACACCTTGCTGACGGGCTATCTCAAGCCAGAACTTGCCTGTGCAGGAGGCTAATTTGGTCAGCAAGGTGTTTAAAATGACTTAAATTAGTGTAAGTGCAGACACGAGTTATCTCGTGACCGGTCAGCAAGGTGTTAAGGACCCACCAGATCACTGTGTTATACTGGAGAATTTTAAAAATGAGAACTGAATAGCCTTTGCCCTGTGGTTGATAATACAGGGCACACACACACACAAATGCTAACCATCCATTGCCAGAGATCTCCTCTGTTGGTAAGAAAGTGTTGGTGCTTGAATGTGCTATCGGTTTGATTTCCAACCTCCTGAAGCAGGCTCTTTGCAGACGCCTCCTGGAATTCCCCTCGTGTCTGGTCAACTATTAATCTTGGACTTGCAGAACAAGTAGAGCGTGTGTATTAGTTTTCTGTGACTGCTGTAATAAATTTCCACAACCTGGGTGGCTTTAAACCACAGGAATTTATTTTCTCACAGATTTAGAGGCTAGAAGTCCAAAATCAGTATCACTGGGTTGAAATGAAGGTGTGTCACCGGGGCTGCGCTCCTGGAGGTTCTGGGGGAGACTCTGTTCTTTGCCTCTGCCAGCTTCTGGCAGCTGCCAGCATCCTTGGCTCACAGCCACATCACTCCAATCTCTGCTTCTGAGGTCACATCACCTTGTCCTCTGTGTGTGTCAGATCTCCCTCTGCCTCCCTCTTGGAAGGACATACTCGATGGCACTTAGGGCCCACCTGGGAAATCCAAGATAACCTCCCCAACTCAAATTCTTTAGCTTAATTACATCTATAAAGATTCTGATTCTGGGCCATGTTCAGAAATCCAGTTAGCCCAGAAATTTCAGTGGAGCCCTCTGTGTCTCCCTTTCTCTAGGATGAGATTCTCTTGGTTTCAGCAACTTTTCTGTCCCCAGTGTGAGCACCAGTGGAGGGGCTGACCTTGAGTAAGATGCTCTCCAGACCGACAGCTGGATGCCAAAGAGGCGACGCCTGAAAATTCAAATCAAGTAGCTGGTCCTCCACTGATGCCCAGAGAACAAAGGCTCGGCTGGAGCCAGGGGCCTGGCTACCCAGTGAGTGACTCCCTGCGATTGCCCCCTCTAACAGGGGCGTACACCCCAGGCCTGGGCTTCCAGGACAGAAGATGAGACACACAGACAGGGGCCATGAAACAACCATTCCAGGAGATAAACGATGAAGCCCACGGGAGCAGAGTTGGGAGCTCAGCAGCCCAGCCTCCAGAGTGACCCGAGGAACCTGCTGTAGGACCAGGGAGGAGGGATCTGAAGGGTTAAGAAAGTTTTATAGTGAAAGTAGCTGCTTGGGAAAGATTTCAAGGATGTTATGAGATTAAGGAAACAGGAAATGAAGAGCCCTGCAGGCTGCTTGGGAACCAGAGGGCCCCTCCTCTCCCCTCATTCCATCCCTGAGGAATAAAGTGCAGGAAAATACAGGAATCATGTGAAACCACAGGGGCCTCAATATGATGAGCACAGTTTTAATTCCATATAAACAGCCACCCTGCAAGGCCTCTGCTGCAGACAGCGTTACGAATGAGTCTGGTTGGACTTTAAGAGATGGCCGTGGGTGGATCTGGTACCTCTCAAGAAAAATGAGTTCCAGGACATGAGACTGCTTTATTTTTTGTTTTCCTCTCAGATCATAAATGCATGCTGTTTTATTCTAGCAGGTGTGTCTAAGAGGCCATAGCTCTCTGTGTTTATTTCCTAGGGCTATCCTAACAATTTTTCACAAACTGGGTGGCTTAAAACTGCAGAAATCTATTGTCCCACAGTTTTGGAGACCAGAAGTCTGAGATCAAGGGGTTGGCAGGATTGGTTCCTTCTCAAGGCTTGGAGGGACAATCTCTTCCATGCCTCCCTCCTAACTTCTGGTGATGGCTCGCAATCCTTGGTTTCCTTGACTGTCCCTGACTTATAGACACATTGCTCCAGTATCTGTCTCTGTCATTATATGGCATCCTTGTGTGTCTCTATTTCCCTCTTATAAGGATAGCAGTCATTGAATTAGGGCATTCCTTAATCCAGTTTTAGTTTATCTTAATTTGACTATGTTTACAAAGACCCTATTTCCCAAAAAGGTCACATCCACAAGTACCAGGGGTTAGGGCTTCACTGTATCTATCTCGAGGACACAATTTAACCCACCACAATCACTGGGTGGGTATTCTAAAATGCTAGTAATTAGTTGGTGATGTGTGGTTGGAGAAGCTATGGGCCTGGTGAGAAGAAGCAACGGTGGGCTTGGGGAAGGTGTGACAAGTTTATGGAGAGATAGGATCCCTGGATGGCCAAAGTCAGAGAACATCAGCTCCAGATCCTCTCTGCAAGACCAAACATCTCTGCCTGAATTTCATGGGCCCTCTCTCTCCACTTTACTCCTCAGAGCCCCACCCTTTATCAGAAATCCCACTTCTTATTATCTCTATCCTTTGGATTAGGGATGGAGTTTTAAAACATTATGCAGCCCTGGCCGGGGTGGCTCAGGTGGTTGAGCACCATCCCATGCACCGAGAGGTCACCAGCTGGGTTCCCTGTCAGGGCACATGCCCAGGCTGCAGGCTCAGTCCCAGTAGGGGGCGTGCAGGAGGCAGCCAATAGATGTTTCTCTCTCTCCCTCTCCCTTGCTCTTTCTCTAAGAAAATCAAGAAAAACATATTTAAAAACAGACATTATGCAACATATTAAAAAGGCATAAAGAAAAAAATAAGAAACAACTATGTTCCCATCGCCCAGCTTACAAAATAAAAAACGTGACTCATCATTTGAAATCTGATGTGTCCCCTGTTACCTCTTCACCCTAAGCACCCCCCACTCAAGACAACCTCTAGCTGAATTTGGAGGTTCGCATTCCCAGGCCTTCCTCTCCATCAGTACTATATAGGTGTCTCCCTTAGCAACAGAGCACCTTCATTTGCATTTTTTTAAAAACATATAAATTGTATATATTCTTCTACAACTTTTTTCCTTGCCTTACTTCTGTGTATTCCGTCCATACTGAGACATGTATCTCTGCCTCATTCCTTTTGCTGCTGATTTTTTTCCCCTTGTTTCTCTTGTTACTAATTTTAGGCTGTGATGGGAAGTCCTGGCTTGGGAACAGATGACCCAGGCTCAGTCCTGTCTCTGCCATTTATTTCAGGCAAAATACTTTACATCCCTGTGGCTCTGTTTTCTCGTTTATAAAATGGTGATGATAAAAAAAAACACCCTCCCCATGGGAGGGGGGCCTAAATGAGACAACTCCTGCCCAAGGAACAGCGCCTGCCACGAGAAAATACTCTAAATATTGACTCATTTTTCCATTCGCAGGAAAACCATGCTGAGCAAGAAGGTCAGAACCACGCGCTGGGCTCAGAAATCTCAGGCAAAACGTCAAAGCAAGGATGTCCAGTGTTTTCTGGTGTGTGAGAATAAAAGTAAGTTTTTAAAAAACAGGAGATAGTAGTATTCATCTATTAAATTAAGTGATTGTCTATCCATCTATGTAAGTCATTCAATTCTCCCTTGGACCACTCAGCTTGGGGAACTTTTCTTAACTAAAAAAAGAAAGACTTCCCGTTTTCAGGCTTTTACAGATGGGACATCATTGCTGTGTGACTAGAAGAATGACCCTGAGCCGGTCATTGTACCTCTGGCTCTTGTTGACAGCTTATTTGGCCTGGGTTTGTCAGAACGTCCCCTGTCAATATCACCAAGTGTCGCAGCAAAACAAAATCAGTTCCAGCGTGGGACTCGCAAATGGCTGTGGAATTAGGTGGATTTATCTTTTCCGACCATTTCATTAAATATCAGGACATCTAATCGAGTGTAGAATGGCAATGGCTTCCAGCCACGCGCTATTCTGAATTACCCAGTATTAAACCCAAACTCTGTGTATCTGTGCGATGTATATTTTGCTACTGTTTTCCAATATGAAACGAATGTGTTCGAAATGGAAGTGGAAATCGCTATGATAGTTCCTCTGACTTTGGAAAGAGTGAGTCTTCACATTTTTCTGTGTTAGTGGTTTCCATCAGCATGAACCGTCCCTCACTCACCAAGGAAGTTACCCCACTGGAAGCAAATCTGATTTCCTGCCCCCTTCTGGCAGGAAGGTTACGTGTCCCTTTAGCTGCGAGAATAATTTGGGGGAAACTACAATTAATTAATAAATACGGCAGCCTGACGTCCATCCGTACCACATGCATAGGGGTCTGGGGAGAGGGGACTTCCAGCCCGAGGCAGTCCGCTCACCAACACACGGCTCAGAATTTGCTATCAGACACATAAGGGGCAAGGCTCGTTCCCTGAGTCATGAAGCAATTCATTCTCAAAAGCGGGCTGAATGTCTAGAAAGAGAACTAATGCACGCTATCTCAGACAACAGTGAAACGCTGTCGACTTCAGTAATAGTAAACAGCATCAGACGCTTTGTGAGCCACTCTCATCTTAGTAAGAGGTTGGTCTGCATGGGGCCCCTTCTGGCTGGAACTGATGCCACTTCCTCTGTTGCCCTCTGCAAGAAAAATTCCTCCTTCCGCCTTGATTCCTGGTGCAATTTGTAAACTGAGGCTCGTCTTGTCTTCCCTGCTTGGTTCTGTGCTTTTAATGCTCGCAAGTTTTTCTAGAATGCCCCAGCACGATCCCCAGACTACCCTGTGTTCACCTACCCGAGGCCAGGAAAACCGACTTACTTCTTAGAGCGTATTCTTTGGGCTCCACCGAATTCAGATCAGAAAGGAATTCATCGGTGTCTTGCGTGCACTTGAGAGAAATGTTTCTTGCAGGAAAAACAAAGGGTAATTGAAACTGAAAAGAAAGCAGGCAAAATAGTAAAGCCGGGGCCATCGCTGTCCCTTAACCTGTCAGGATAAAACTCCCCTTAGACAAAGAGCCTTATATTTATGAAACACTAGTCTATGACATGTTGGGGTGCAGGGGGGGAGATGTGACAAACCTCAGTCCTTAACACACAAGCTGTGGCTCCTCAGCCACCTGCAAAGCGGCCGAGATGAACAAACCATGGAAACCGATTTCCACACAACTTGTTATTGTTGAGTCAAGTCGCGCTGAGACTGTGGGGGCCGCTGACCACCTGGCTTCCTTTAGTTATGCAGATTAACATGGATAAGGCTGGATTTTCGCGGGTTAGCCCTTCCTGCATGTACCTCCGGGTTTAAAAAATATACCGAGGATGTTAAGTGGAAATATTTGGTTTCCCCCTGGAACAATTATGTATCCAACCTATAAAACATTTGGATAAGTGATCAGCAAAGAAGGGCTTCTCCATATCATCTGGGTTTTCCATGCATCTGTTCATGTGTTTGCCTCACTTCAAAGCCACATAGGTGTGGGAGAGATGAACGCCCCCAAGGAAAGAGCCGCATTGCAGTGGGACCAATAAGCCCGAGTGTCATCTCATGGGCCTTCGGACGCACATGCCGGGGAGGAAATGAGGCTGACAGATGTCCGCAGTGACGGTGTGCATCTACTTTGCATAAAATGAGTGGGACTGGATTTCTCAGGGTGTAAATATTGTCTTTCCAGAAAGGCTTTCTTTAAATAGCAAACGTCCCTAACTACATTGAAACTGTGATGCAAACCTTGTTTCCATGGTGGGAACAGTCTGCACCTGTGGGTGGCTGGGACTCAGTTGCACTTCCTGTGGCTCGCTGGCTTCACCGGGCCATAGCATCCCACACTGGGTGCCTGATAAACAACAGACATTTATTGCTCACACTTCTGGAGCCTGGAAGTCCAAGATCCAGGCGTGGGATGGTTGTGTTCTGGTGAGCGCCTGGCTCTGGGTGATCAAACAGAAACATCTCTAAAACCTGGATTTACTTCCAAGTCAGTTGTTGATATCGTGTAGTCATTGAAAATATGAAATTGCTTTTAGAATTCAGTGTTAAACGGTCCATCGTTTCTCAACTGGGGGCGGGGAATGCAGTGAGCAGAACACATCCCCACATTTTAATCTTTAGTAATAAAAACCACCTAATATGATTTTAAAGTACCACCTAAATAAAGAGGGAAAAGATAATCTTACTTTTGGGAAACTAAATAGCTCAAGGCCTTTCTGTTTGTCCCAATGCCTAAGAAATAAAATTATGACTAATCAAGTTTCAAGGAGACTCGGTTGTTTTATGCAGACATTTTAATCACCTGTTTCATGCAAAGCAATGTTCTGGGCATAAAAATAAGACAGGAAAATAAAAAATGCCTACCTTTCCTGTAAGCAGGGCTTTACTAAAATTTCCTGTGGCAGCAAACAGCTCCTGATGCTGTTATTAAGGCCACAGTCATTTTAGTCAAGTAACAAGCTCTGTGGAAAAGGGAAAAGCATCGGGCCTCTCAGCATTCGGCAATGAATTTGTGAAAATGAGGCATCAGCCAGCCTGCTGGCAAATGGTAACTAATGACAGAAGGAAAAACACCTCTTGCAATGAGAGGAAAGGGCGACCGCAGATTAGAAAGCAGGCGGAGTTCATGGCCCAGCTCAGGACGTCTTTCCAGAGGCCAGTAAGCTTATGTCAGGGGTGCTAAGTGCCAGGAAGAAAAATCACACAGCACAAGGAAGGGGAGAGTGGGGAGCAGGGAGGGGGTGTGCTGTTGTGGGGGCGCACGTTCCAGCAAGGTGACCCAGAAGCAGGTGACCTCTGAGCCAACCGGAAATGAGTGAGAAAAGTCCATCTGAGAATTACAACTTAAGGAAGAGCATTGCAGGCAGAGGGAACAGCCAGTGCCAGGTCCCGGGAAGGGAATGTGCGGAGTGTATTAAAGGGACAACCAGAACGGAGGGGTAGGAGGTGAGGCTGGTGAGGTGACAGGGGGCGGGGTGGAAGGCCTGCTGGGGTCTCGTGGTTATTGACAGGCACTCGCTTCCCCTTATCTTGGCGAGCCTCTCCTGCAGCAACTGTACTGTCAGGCTGCTGGGACGGCGTCTGGAAGTCCCACTGTGACCCACGCCGGTCCCGCGGTTCCTTGAAAGCAGACGCGGGCAGAGAGGCTGAGGAAGGTCCTCATTGTTTCCTCCCACATCTTGGCCCCTTCTCCTTCCTGACCAGCAAGTGCAATTCACAAGGTAATGCTCCATCTGGAACCACCATGACCATGGCCACCGTGTCGCCAGAATGAATAAACTTTAACTGCGCCTGCCTCTTTGGATCATCTGCTGGGGAGTCCAAGCAGGAGCACCGTTTTGGCCAAATACTGACCATCTCACGTCTGAGGTTAAGCTGTCAGGGGTCAGGGAGCGTGACCTTCCGGCTTCCAGAGCAGGAGACAAGGTCCATTCTTTTTTTTTTTTCAATCCTTACCAGAGGATATATTTTTTATTGTTTTTTTTACAGAAAGGGGAAGGAGGGAGAGAGAGAGAGTGAGCGAGAGAGAGAGAAATGTCAATGTGAGAGAGAAGCATCGCTCAGTGGCCTCCAATCCAAGCCCCAACCAGGGACTGAACCCAGAACCTAGGTACTTGCCCTGACCGAGAATCACACCCACAACCTTTCGATGTTCCAGCCAAGAGACATGATGTTCCAACCAACTGAGCCACACTGGCCAGGGCCAGGTCCGTTTCCTGCCGAGAGCCTTACAGTGGCAGATTCTGCAGCACTGGCAGGGATCAGATGCTGAACTTGTAGCAGGATAGTAAGAAGCTAGGGAAGCCCCTGGGCACATGGAATGGGGAAACTGAGACAGGAAAATTAAACGCGGCCAAACAGTTCGGGCAGCTTGAGAACCGAAAGACCTTGTCTTTCCCAGCCAAGGACACGTGCGGGCAAATGGTTCATACCCTCCTCCCTACCCAGAGAACACACAGCTCAAACCCCCCTGGCCTGGGAAATGGAGAACAAAGACCCAATTAGTGCCATTTGTGCCAGCCAGACCCTGGGACAGAGGAAGTTGGGGAACAAATAACAAAAACCCCNCAATTCACAAGGTAATGCTCCATCTGGAACCACCATGACCATGGCCACCGTGTCGCCAGAATGAATAAACTTTAACTGCGCCTGCCTCTTTGGATCATCTGCTGGGGAGTCCAAGCAGGAGCACCGTTTTGGCCAAATACTGACCATCTCACGTCTGAGGTTAGGCTGTCAGGGGTCAGGGAGCATGACCTTCCGGCTTCCAGAGCAGGAGACAAGGTCCATTCTTTTTTTTTTTAATCCTTACCAGAGAATATATTTTTTATTGATTTTTTTACAGAAAGGGGAAGGAGGGTGAGAAAGAGAGAGCAACGTCAATGTGAGAGAGAAGCATCGCTCGGTGGCCTCCAATCCAAGCCCCAACCAGGGACTGAACCCGGAGCCTAGGTATTTGCCCTGACCAAGAATCACACCCACAACCTTTCGGTGATGTTCCAGCCGAGAGAGACGATGTTCCAGCCGAGAGACACGATATTGCAACCAACGGAGCCACACAGGCCAAGGCCAGGTCCGTTTCCTGCCGAGAGCCTTACAGTGACAGATTCTGCAGCACTGGCAGGGATCAGATGCTGAACTTGTAGCAGGATAGTAAGAAGCTAGGGAAGCCCCTGGGCACATGGAATGGGGAAACTGAGACAGGAAAATTAAACGCGGCCAAACAGTTCGGGCAGCTTGCAGCCAGCTTGAGAACCGAAAGACCTTGTCTTTCCCAGCCAAGGACACTTGCGGGCAAATGGTTCATACCCTCCTCCCTACCCAGAGAACACACAGCTCAAACCCCCCTGGCCTGGGAAATGGAGAACAAAGACCCGATTAGTGCCATTTGTGCCAGCCAGACCCTGGGACAGAGGAAGTTGGGGAACAAATAACAAAAACCCCACTAAAGCCAGACAGACCCAAGATAAAAGTAAAACAGTAAAACAGACCAAAGAATTATCCAAGACTCCCCTAGACACTCATTTTAATGCGTCAGCATATTAAAAATGCACCTGGAAACTGATGACTTTTCGACTGAAACCCTCCCCTGAGATTCTCACCTGCAGAGAGAAACAAATGGATAAAAAGCCTCAGGACAGAGACTCAATGCCGGCTCGCCCTAGAGCACGCCCATGCCCCTTTGTGGGCATGAACTTTTTATTTCTTCCTGATTTCTAAGGGTCCCCGTGAGACTTGCAACCAGGGGAGCAGTGAGCAGCGGCGGCTCGACCCAGGCTCACCCCCTGACCCTGTCTCCAGGACCCCCTTTTCTCTGATTCCCAGTGAGCTAAGGCAGCCCCCCCAGGCTCACTTCTTTCCTATAACATTTCTAGGGAGCCGAAGCAGAGCGCCGCCTAGGCTCTCCCCTGGGGTTCCCTCTACCCTAATTTCTTCCTTCGTTTCATTGCCCCCAGGGTACTCTCTAACCCATCTGGACTCGTGTTGTGAAATCCTTCCTGCACGAAGTCAAGGACCCACACACTACAGGCCGGCCTGAGGCAGACCTGCTCCAGGCTGGACCCTGTCCAGTAACAAACTGACAAAATCAAGAAAAATGCCATTGCCCCAACTTAGGGACACATCTTCTGCCCTTTCCGAGAGAGAGTGGTTCCCTTTGACACACGTAGCTCTGCTTTCCCTGACTCTTGCCGACATCCCACCATCCTCTCCGACCAGCTGGCCTATGCCTTCCTTGTTCTGTTTCATCAAATAAGTGACACGTAGGCCTGGCCGGTGTGGCTCAGTAGGCTGAGCATGTCCCAGGCACCAGAAGGTCGCAGGTTCAATTCCGGGTCAAGGCACATGCCTGGGTTGTAGGCTCATTCCCCGGTGGTGTGCAGGAGGCAGTCGATCGATGTTTCACTATCACATGGATGTTTCTTTCTCTCTCTCCCCCTCTCCCTTCTCTCTCTAAAGATCAATTTTTTAAAAAATCTTTTAAATAAATAAATGATGTGTATTCTCCAGAAATAACCAATCCAATTAAACTTGACTAGACCTGAAGGTCAGAAAATCAACCTCGGTCTAAACCCACATCTTCTGGAACCGATTTGAAGGTGCAACATGGTGGATCGGATTCTAGGGCTCCCCTAGATAAAAATACACAGTCCTGCAAAGTACTGTGTTTGAAACAGACTTGCCTTGGTGGCGTAACTCACCACTGCAACTGGAGGGAGAGCCCCGGGATAGGAGCATGCAAAAAGCAGCCCAGCAAATTGAATAATCAGTCCCTTTAATGCTACAAAACATTATAAATAGTGCTGCTTGGAGTCAGAATTAACCTCATAGGTTGAATTTAGAAACTAGCAAAGAATGTTTTCTGGGAAATGCTCTTCTGTTTCCCTAAGTAAAACATAGCCACTAGGGAAAGGGTGTAATTCCAGGATAAACCTGGTGAGGCAATTAGAAAGGAAAGATAACTATGGGATGCAGAGTGCCCTGTTCCAGCTCACGACCTGCCTTTAGGGGGTAAAACGCATGTCGGCAAGAAGACAGTTGTAGAGCAGACACTTCTGAAAGCGTGTGCTAGGCATCTGCGACCATCACGGTGTCTCCCACCTGGTGCCCTAGATCCGTCACGCATCCCTCTGTCCTGCTCTGTGTCCTGCTCACCCACACTACGGACTGTTTCTGGGCCTTCCCTGTCCTGTAGCTTCTGTTTGGCTTTGGCCAGTGGGAGGTGCCAGCGGGAAACCTTTGAGAGTGAGGGCACAGCCTCCCTGTCATTTCCCTCCCACACCCTCCTTGCCTCACTGGGGCTCTGGCTCTTATGAAGAGGCCCCAGTCCACGGCTCCAGCTCTGCCCCTGAGGGTGGCGATGGCTCCCCAGATTTCCAGGCCATGGCTCTGTATATAGCCCCCTCCTTGATTTCTTTAAAGGTAAACCTTTTCTAGTGGGCTGTTTGTGTCCTGCTAAGACCCGAATTCATACAGGATCTAACACTGAGCACCTGCAGATCTACCTTTCCAACTAGGGCAGTAAATGTGAATGAACAAACTCCGGGGAAAACACAGGCTAAGATGATGGGAGTTTCATCAGCCAGTGAATTGAGCCTTTTTCTAAAATAACACGTTCACCAAAACCCACAGGGACAGTAGGGAGGGGAAGTAGATGTGGAAGGGGAACGTTGCCTCCAGTTCAGCCTCACACCCAAACCATGGGGATGGAGGCCGGGCCACTCAGGATAGGTGGTTTGGGGCAATGGTGACTACAGAGTAACAGCTGGCTAGCCCAGGGCTTCTGGTAGCTGGAAAAGAGGCTCCTTGCAGAGACATAAGTTCACATTGTCATATCTCAAAGGTTTATGATGACCTCTGTTGGGGTGTGAGATTTATAATTTCAAAAAGAAACCTAAGTAACCAGGAAGGCTCAAGTGTCCATTTAAGCAAAGAATGAATCGTGCATGAGTAGGAGCCGTTCTTAAAGTAATTTAGATTTTCTAGGTTCTAAGGTGTGTGCTTACAATTACGAGCTGTAATACGGAGCCCTTACAGCATCCAGTGCGTGTGTGTGTGTCTGTGTGTTTGTGACTAAGTGGCGCAGATAGCATTCCACGTTTAACACGCCCCTCCATCTTCAGACCATTTTTAGGATGAATAATTCTTTTAAGCCGTATTTTATTTTACAAAAGTCTTTGCTTTTGCTTCTCCCCTCCCAAGTATGCATTTTAAAGAGATCACAGCATGATGAATATATGAATATGAAATAGTAATATCTTAAGACTTGGCCAGTTTTCAAGAGATTTCTCTGTTGGTCAGTGATCCTGGAATGCACCTCACTAGCCCACAGAACCTGGGAGACGCGCCCGCCAGTGCTTGGGGCGGGACAGTCAGTCATTCTTTGGAATATTTTCTGCAGGAGTGAGGAATTTGCAGAAAACGTGTCTGGGAGGAAGAAGTGACCTATGCCACGTGGCCTAGGTCTACGTTCCCCCGTTTCTCGCCTTGTAAGTCTTGGCAGCACCGTTACTCCATGATTGATAAAATCATCCACCCACACTCCTTCAACCAAAAACACATCTCCTATGCGTATCTGAAGTGCAAGCCTCACCAGACCTAGCTCTAATTTTGACTTTCGCATATCTAAGTAGTAATGTAAGCCTTGAAAAAGTCTAAGAAATCACCTAGATTTGAACTTCCAGACATCCTCCTTGCTCCTCTGTCTCCCACAGCATGAAACCCTCTCGATGCTACTGAGATGCCACCTGCAACTGCACCCGCTCCCCAAGGCCACTCCCACCCCCAGGTCAGTCCTCATGCCCGTGTGTTAGCACCGCTGCCACCTTATTCCTGTGATGGTCACTCATGCTGCTCACATATTCCCAGCTTTCTACCTTCTAGATTGTCCTTCCTGGCCTCCTTGTGATTATGTGGGACATGTGACCGGTCTGGGCCAATGAGTTGTGAAAAGTGACACCTGCCAGTTCCGGGCCAAAGCATTTAATTGCCCTTCCCCTCTGCCACAGTAACGATGGTGAGGCGGGGTAAGGGGACAAGCAGAGTTGGAGCAGGGTTTCCAGTCAACCCACAAGGGACAGGGAATGTGAGCAGGAAATACGTCTTGTTATAAACCATGAAGATTTAGGGTTGTGCCCGGCCGGGCGTGGCTCAGCGGTTGAGCGTCTGCCTAGGGTCCAGGAGATCGCGGTTTGATTCCCAGTCAGGGCACATGCCCGGGTTTCTGGCTCGATCCCCAGTCGGGGGCATGCAGGAGGCAGCCGATCAATGACTCATCATTGATGTTTCTCTCTCTCTCCCTCTCCCTTTCTCTCTCTGAAATCAATAAATATTTAAAAACCAAAAAAAATTTAGGGTTGTAACCACAGTGTAACCTAATCTCCCACCATCCATCCTAAACACTGCCACCGGTTAATCTGGTTACGTCACTCTCCTGTCCAAAGAACTCACCTCTATTGGAGCACAGACTCCTTAGTCCAGCGTCCAAGGCTTTCTGCAACCTGGCCTGAGCCTACCTGGCAGCATCAGCATCTTCCCCACCAAACAGGGGAAATGAGCTTCCTAAGAACACATGAAGCAAGCCCCAGGGTTCTCCCTTTGGCCTGATTACAAATGCCCACACTTAGGGCCCAACGGGTAGAATTCACAAGTCCCAATGTGGGTTTTTGCTCAGCATGCATGTGAAACAAAGAACTCACAACTTTGGTTAGGGGCCAGGAATTTTCTGCAATGGCCTCTCTCAATTCTGTTCCCTCTCTGGAACTCCTATTAAACTTGTTAGATCTTCTCATTTGGTCAGGGTTTTTTTTGCTTGTTTTTAATGTATCTTTATGGATTTCAGAGAGAGGAAGGGAGAGGGAGAAAGATGGAAAGGTCAATGATGAGAGTCATTGCTCGGCTGCCTCCAGCAGGCCCCCGACTGGGGATCGAGCCCACAACCCAGGCATGTGCCCTGACCAGGAATTGAACCGCGATCTCCTGGATCCTAGGTCACTGCTCAACTGCTGAGCCACGCGGGGCCGAGCTCATTTGGTCGTTCTGGACTTCTAATGTCTTTCATACATTTCATCTCATCTCTGTGCTGTATTCTCGGTAATTTCTTCATGATCTATCTTCCGGTTCACCAATTTTCCCTTCAGTTGAACCATCCAGTTCTCCTCATAGGGTAGCAGCATCCTGTGCTGTTTTTCGACTCTGGGTTTCAAGTCTTCGTTTTGGACCCCTGCCCATTTTTAAAAGCTTTCTTGGAGGCTCAACTAAGCATTTAATAGATGCCGATTTCATACTGCCAAGCATTTCTGGGTACGTAAGAAAGTAGATCAACTTCCAGGTTATCTTAAAAAAGCCATAGTGCCACAAACAAAAATTCTAGTTTCGTGTTTTGCACATAGTTTTTATTTGTTGAGTAAATGAATATTTGCCAATATGTACATAAACACATAGAGCGAGCACTAGAGGTTTAGAGCAAGAGTATGGGTTCTGATACGCAAAGCCACTGACCAGCTGTGAGGGCTTAGGGAAAGAATGTAATCGGAGCTCAGCTTCCTCAACTGTGAAACTAGGCCAGTAAGACCCGTGCAGCTCACCACACAGGCTTATTGCAAGGTTCCAGTGCAGAAACATGTGGAAGTCCTATGAACACAACTCAGAGCGATACAAGTATAAATATGACAAGTAACAGCAATTGAATTTCAAGTTGAGGAGTAATCATGCCCTCGGGTTACACCCATGTCCCGATGGAGTCAACAAGAAAGTGACACAACAGCCGATCGCTAATGAGAACGAATATATGCCATCCTTCTGAGCGGGAAGATCCTGCAGTGGCCTGCAGCCTGTCCCTGAAACGAATCACTTCCTAAACTTCATGACGATGTCACAGTCCCACCATCAATAACGCTCTCACAGAAGCACAGGGCCAAATGTCCCACGTTTATTTACATATGAAATGTGTTTAGTACAGTTCTGATGGATGCAGTGCATACACCGCACAGCAGCAGCAAGACCTTTCTGAGGAACCGAACGTTGACTACAGTATATCATGCAAGTATCTATATATACACAAAATAATTTTTCTTAAAAAAAAAAAAAAAAAAAGTACAAAACATGTTCAGGGATAAATACAAGATATAAAATGGCAAAGAAAACACAAAACAAAAACCAAAAAATAGAACTCTCCCAGAGAACTACAAACGGAAGGGACAGAAAAGGACCTCTGCTCTGCTTCCACCGAGCAGAACCCACCGGTAAATGTACTTATTGAAATGAGCGAACGAACCCGGGCGGCTCGGGCTGGTCTCGCGGCCGGCTGCACGCGTCGGCTGGTGGGCCGAGGTGTGCGTGCCAACTCTAAGTACCAGGACGTTTGGCAGTAGCACCCAGAACAGGAACGCCAACTCTTTAGACAGCAAAGGGTTACGTCGACTAGGATGTTTGTCTTCCTGTCAAGAGCCGGAGAAATACTTGATATCTTTAGTTGTGTCTTTATAATAGTTAATAAATTACACGACAAAAATTTGACTATAGAAATCTATTGGTCTAACTATGTATTTGTAACTTCTACAGTAGTCCAGCCCTTTCGTAACTTTATCTCCTTGTGCTCTTGGAGTCAGCCTTGCGAGTCGGACCAGACGACCACCAGCCCTCGTTCTGACTCTCGGACAGACACCCTTCTTCCCCAGGCGATGAAATCAGGGACACCCTCCTCCGTCACCGGCTTGCCGGCCTACGCGTTTTATTCACCTGCAAGGCTGCCGCTTTAAACACCGTCTGGCATGGCCTGGAGGATGCCACACGCCGCCGGAGCGCGCTGGCGTGGGAAACGCGCGCCCCGGACTAGAGCAGGCACGTTGAGGGTAGTGCTAAGACACTTAGAAGTCCCCAGGTGTTCTGAGACCCGCGATCACCTACAATTTATGTAGTGAATTCTAAAAATTAAAAACACTAAAAAAGGCATTATCTTAGCCTGTAATTAGTTAACCCTTTTAAATCCATAACATACAAAATGGTTTATTTGAATTCAGGAACTGCTCGTTACTAAGAACTCTGTTTTGAAGGAACGCTACAAAAAGAAAAATTCTAAACCCCCCCCAAAAAAAACCAAACTCAAAACATTTTCTACTAAATACTGATACAAACATGTAACAAAGAGTATAAAAAGTTATTCATTTAAATATATACAAACTCTTTTAAACTCAAATACTGTTTTAATACTTATCGAGGATATACACGACGGGGTGAGGAGGGGACGCTGAAAGAGAATATATTGCAACAGCCTAGACGGTACTGTTAACTCTATTATACTGCAAACTTTCTGTAACAAAAATGTCTTTTTATTCCAATGTGGACAGGGATCCCCCCTGTGGAAGGTCTGTGGCTATTTCTCAGCTGAGCTCACCCTTTTGGATTTAATGAAGGCCATGCCGTGTGTCCGCATGTGGGCGTTTAAGGCAGCTTCCGTTTCGAACGTTTTTGCGCACACTTTGCACTTTCTGTCGGACACGGCGCCGTCGGCCGCCTCGTGCTCGGGGCTGGGCTTGTTCTGCTGGTTCTCCTCCCCGGCCCCGTTCTGCTGGGACACGGGCTGAGGCTCTTTCAGCTTGTGCACGATGAACAGGTGCCGGGACAGGGACACATGCGACGTGTAGCAGAGGCCACACTCCCGGCACTGGTAGGAGGAGCCATCGGACTTGTGTTGCGGGATGTGTTCGTGGAACTGGAGCAGATTTTCGGTGGTGAAGCCACACACGGCACACTTGTGAACCTTAAAAACATTTATCTTGAGCTTTTTCAGCGGCTGAGTAATCGCTCCCCTGGGAGGTCTGAACTCTAAAACTGGTTCTTCCAACTTCCGCTTGGGACTGGGAACCTATGAGAGAAACACACACACAACTGAAAGCTGTTCTGCTGGATGGGTGACAAGCGACCAGCTCCCTCGGGCTCTAGAGCTGCCAGGGAAACGTGTTCTATGAGCTTCGGGATGGGGGTTTTGTCACAGCTGCGTGTCTGCCACCCCACCCGAGGCTCAGGCCTTTCATTTCTCCACAAATCTGAGTTCCTGTGTCACCAGGCAGCACTCCAGCCCAGGGGCCCAGCAGGGCACAAACAAGTCCCTGCCTTCATGGAAGGCAGGCTCCAATGGAGCGTGACAGGCAGCAACCCAGGGGCCAATCTACAGTGTCACACACAGGAAAACAAAGCAGCGTGGGAGAGGAGGGGGGGGTAGGTTACACATGGCGTGACAGTGACATCTGAACAGAGGCCTGTTCCAGGAGGATGAGCCATCCAGCCACATGGGGGAAAGGGCCCAGACACAGGAAGCTGTGCAAGCAAAGGCCTGAGGTAGGGCCTGGGCCTGAGGCTGGAGCAGGGTGGCCAGGTGAGAGCAGAGGTGAGGCCAGGGAGAAGCAGGGGTTGGCTGGACTGGCAAACACCTGTGGGAGAGGAAACGCCAGGGATCTTGCCTTTTCGGTGACTAAGATGGAGAATCCCTGGAAGGTACAGTAACTGCCGTTTCCTGCCCACTCACCTTCACCATACCCCTTCCCCAACAGGCCATGCCTTTCTCCTAACTTTCCAGCTTTCTAGATCTGACCCACCTCAAATCCCCTCATTTCTCAATCCCCAAAAATCCAAGCCAAAGGGAGACTCCCTCCTCTCAGCTCCATGGCCCAACTTTTCTGCCCTGTTCACAGGGAGCCTCTCATACACCTTGACCTGAAGCTCCCCTCCATCCCCATTCTTTAATTCCCCCTCCCGCTCCCCTTTGGACATCATGTGATGGGAAGGATCACAATCTAATGTGACATTAGTCTAACTTGTATTTTGATTGGCCTTGACTCAGTGATTAACTCCTTGAAAACACACGCAGGTTCACCAGGCACACTTCAGACACAGCACAGTGCCAAGGCCGCAGGATCCCTTAAGGTCTGCTGAACCGCTGGTCGCTCTAAGAGTGCTCGGCACACACACGCCTTGGACACTGGTTAACATATATACTGTGGTCTGATCCAAGTTCACTACCCACTGACATAAGAATAAGGCATGAATTCGCCATTTTATCTCCTATCGTTACAAAGAGAAGCAAAAAGGAACCACAACCCTTACTAGGGCCCTATCACAACCGCTATGTTGCCAGGGGAAAATAACCCAGCTTTATGGATCACCTCTTCTGGCTAAGAGGCAATTTCTGAGTCAACATCAAATTGTAAATTTATTTGTGTAGGTAGATCCCTAAAGCTATTTCTGGAAGGACACAGAAGAAACTTAACAAAGGTTACCTTTTAGGAGCACGGGGCAAGGTCAGGGTGGGTGCAGAGGGAGACTATTATTTTACACCTTCGTGCATGGTCTGAATTTTCTAAATTGTGTAACTGTGTAAAATTTTAAATGAAAAAAGCAAGTCAACACCATTCCACTGCAAAGAGAACGTCCACAATGTCTGACCTTGGCGTCTTCTTTTATTTCTGCTTCCTCCTCGTTGGTGGCTTCTGTCATTTCTTTCAAGTCGGGATCCTTAATACCGTGCATGAGCTGGATGTGCTTCTCCAGCATCAGCCGCTTGGTGAAGGTCCGCCTGGAGTCTGGGCAGTGCCTGTGGAGCCGAAGACAAGGACATAACCTGCTTGCTGAAAAGTAACTCACGGGGGTCACGGTCACGGCGGAAAGACCTCCACCACCACCAGTACACTGAGAGGGGGCGAGACGGTCTGTGTGAACACCAACACTCCGAAGGGAAGCAGCAATTTTGCTATAAACCATAGTTTCCAATTTGTATAAAAAACTTTGGCAGCTTTTCTTTTCAAGGCTTGGTTAAAAGTATCACTTAATTCCTAATTCTAGATGGCTTCCATTTTAAAATGGAGAATATTCAATTTCAAAAGTTTTCTTTACCACGACTCAGAGAGTTTGCTCAGAATTTATGTCATGAGAGACACTTTAACATGAGGAAAGCCCCTCCCTGGCTCCTTCATGCTGAGCTTCATAATTCCTGTCCACTCTGCCGTCACACAGAGAAGACAGTGTCTCGCCCAAATGCCTCATCAATGTGCCTGGTTAGAAGCCCAGCGCTCAAGTGCATGTGTTCATCCAGAGACTCAAATGCAGAAAACTATGAACAGATGCCCAAAGTAGGTCAAGTACTGAAAAGTTTTCATTTCATCTTATGCAAAAAGAGCCCTGTGAATTATGAACATAGTTTTTCTTTGGAAGATATGAATTTACTACTTTCTTAATAAAACAGGGCCAAAAAAAGTAATAATAAAAAAAAAAGAGTTAATGACCACAGTGATAATAAATGCTATGAGCCAGACATCAAGGCCACTGCGGTGAAGGGGATGAAAGGCGCTTGTGGTCTCTGCATCTAAAAAGGCTCTTGTGGGCCCTGGCAGGTTGCTGAATGGTTAGAGCATCGGCCAGTGGACCCAAGAGTTGCAGGTTAGATTACTGGTCAAGGGCACGTACCTGGGTTGCAGGTTCTCTCCACTCTGGTTGGGCACATGTGGGAGGCAACCCAATCGATGTGTCTCTCTCACATCAATGTTCCTTCCTCTCTCTCTCTCTCTCCCTCCCCCCCACTCTCTGTTTGAAAAGCAATGAAAAGAAATATCCTTGAGTAATAAAAAAATTAAATAAATAAAAAAGCTCCCGTGGGTTTTATAATGATCATCCCCAAACTCAGCTGATTCCACATTAGAGACCCTTCACCGGGGCAGCGATGGGAGCCGGCAGCTGGCACCAATACCAAGGAACACGTGAACTTAGCCTGACAGCCCTAGCATTTTCCTGCCTGACGATGACTTCACAGACCCATCTATCACCTGAAGGATCATGCCACACCAGGCTTCTTTTTCATCTTCTTCCCAGCCCAGGGCCTTCCTTCTGAATTCTGATTCTTCCAATACAATCTCTACACACAGACTCTATGTACAGAAGGTTCTCATCTCTACAAAATCATCCTCAGCTTCAATGTCACCGAAGGAGAGTCTCGGTCCCTGTTTTCCTACCCAAGAAACTTTCCCCAACTGAGCTCCAGCAAAGTCCCGCTGACCTGACGCCAACCTTCACAAGTCGTCAGAGCCACGTGGTGCGCACATGCTACAGACCATATATGCGGCTTCCATGTCTTGTGGTTCTCTCTCTTTTATGAGAAGTGCCTTAAAGTAATTAACCTTGTTATAGCAACTCACTTCAGGCAGGTTCTGTTTGAGTGTGTGATAAAGCTTTCTCACTAACAGTAATACAGTAAGTTCTGAGCGTCACACACTAAGTAGCTCATAACCATCCCGAGTGGCATTCACTGTGTGCTGGCCGCACAGTGCCACACCTTTGGTATCTTAGCCAGTAGTGTGCAGAGGTAGGGCTGCCCTGCATTAGGTGGTAAACTACAGCCAAGGGCAAGCGGTCAGCCTAGGACTGACCCCAGGGTCCCTCTGAACCACTGAGTCAATCAAGGCGACAAATCAAAGTGCCCACGCCAGCAGCTCACTCCACCATGCACCTGCGACTCCATCACTTCTCCAAAACCCTAATAGAACAGACACAATGGGTAACAGCCAAGAACACAGGAACCTACACAGGTTATGCAAGAAATTGCTTCTTTCTAGTTTAATATTTTTAAAAATACGTTTTTATTGATTTTAAAGAAAGAGAGGAAGGGGGAGAGAGAGAAACATCAATGAGAGAGAAACATCAATCGGCTGCCTCCTGCACACCCCCTACCGGGGATCAAACCCAAAACCCAGGCATGTGCCCTGACCTGGAATCCAACCGGCAACCTCTGGTGCCTGGGAGGAAACCACCCACTGAGCCACACTGGCCAGGGCTCTAGTTTAATGTTTTTAAGTGTTACAGTCCAATCAAGAAACTGCATGTCAAAACAACAGAATATAATTAAATGAAATCCAGAAACTGTGGAACAGAAGATGGGAATGGAAAAGTAATGGTAACATGCAACACCTCGCTGGGATTCTGCTCAGTCCTGGGACTGCTCCCCCGTTAGAAACCACAACTTACGAGCAGGTATACACTTTCCTGATGCCTTTGTGCTTGATCCGGTTGTGCCGGCACAGGCTGTGTGACGAGCTGAAGGACTTGTCACACTGGCGGCACGGGTGCTTCTTCATTTGCTTTATTGATGAGAAGAGAGAGAAGGTCACCGAAAGGACAAAAACAGAAAACACGTCAAAGACTAAGAACACCTCTCCCCTAAGGGGTTAAGCTGAATACTCATTACTGTTTAGCAATAGGGGCTGGAGTAGCCATGAAGAGGCTAATTTCTACAGAATAAAACCAGCTTCATCATGAGAGTGAAGTATTATACATATTTTTTTTCCTCAACACAAACACCCAGGTATTTAAGAGAAAACATTACATAAATTTTCTTTGCAAAAGAGATATAATAAATGTTATTTTAAAAAGGTGATATATGAAAGTGTAATCCTTTAGTAAATACCAAATCAAGCAGCCATTATTTAATCAGTTATCTCCAGACAGAATATGTCACCGTATCCAATGTGCCATTTTAAATGAAATCTCTGGCTAATTTTCAACCTCTTAACTTTCTCCCACTTAATGATTAAATAATTATTCCTTATATAAGGAAAGAGTTTTCCAAAAGGCCTTTTGTTTTAAACGCTACCATTTGGTTATATCAAGAACACAAATGTTTGAAACCACTTTATGATTGCCTGTTGGTATATGCAGAGAGAAGGGGGAGAGGGGATTGGGGGTGGGATGGACAGAGCGCAAGAGGAAGCTATCAAGAGTTATATAAAAATTTTAAAGTTAAAATTTTCCCACTTTGGCTAAGACATAATTATGTTACCTTAACATATTCCCATGAGGAATCTATGTAGTAAAATTAGTGGCTTAACTTTACAACAAATTCTTTGGGTATGATACGCATTGCAGTCTGCAATGGAACAATGTATTACAAGTAAATTCAATCTAGAAAGAACTATCTGCCTCAGGAATGGAACAAAATTTGGCTCAATCCTCATTAAAAATAAAGCAGAAGTTGCTCCTAAAGTTCTCATGGGAATATGTCCTCTCAAATAACTTTACTATTTTTGGCAATAAAAAGAGATAAGCAAGCAACTGCTAAGTGATAAAGAAATGATAAATGCATTTTTAAAATTACTTTTACGTCACCTGACAAATATGTCCTAGTCAAACTGGTAAGCAAAGCTAAGTGGCTGAGAGTTTTTAAACATGTACCCCATCCCCACCCCCGTAACGTAGGGGTCACACCAGTGATCGCACACACCTGGGGGTGGGGGGGTTAAAGTAAAGGTTAACACAGAGCTTGGGACACAGAAATCCTCAATAAATGCTCTCGTATTAATAATAGTAAAGTTACACATCCAAGTTTCATTTTAAAAGAGTGGAAAATATTGTCTTTTAAATAAAACCAATCGGTCTGGCAGGTATTCAAAAGGGTCTTGAGCCCAGATAAAGGCAAACAAAGGAGGGCGTTTCTTCTCCGTGCTGGGGATGAAAGTCGGGCCACTGCCTGGTTTTCCCAAGCATGTCATCTCCGGGAAAGAGAGAGGGCAGAGCGAATGGCCGCTGAGGCGTGCTGTCCCTTCTCCCAAGGTATTCCTTCATAAAAAACTGGGGTCACACAAAGCAGGCCGTCAGTAACCCCTGGTCTCTTAGATTTACACACCCAAGAACGAACATGAGGTTACATTTAGGATAAAGCTGTAAGTGAAGAACCTTCCATCATGAACAGCTCTCCTGTTTCAATAGTTAAATACCTACTAATATCTAATTCCCTGTGAACTTTGTGCATGTAAGATGGACAACATTAAGATCACCTGGAAGGATCCAAACACACGGCATATTTCTAAAAGCAAAGTTCTCAACAAAGAAGCCTAAATGAAGAAGAAAACTGAAACTAACCACACCAGGGGCAGAGGCCTCCGGGGAACGTGAGCTGCATTTTCTCTTCAGGTGAAGGGACTAAGACTCCATTTCTCGTAACGGTGCAGTTACGTTAACAGCAAACCAAATTTTAATAGAGAAATTTCAATCAAGAAATCCTCAGTAGGCAATAAATTAAATGACGAGCAGCTCGGCTGAATCAGTAATTACTATTTCAAAGAGCTGACAAAATGCGAGATATTATTCTTTTTCATCTTTATTTAAGAAATGCAGAAATGAACTGTGCAAGCCCCGGAACAATGGAGCAAGGTTTCAAAATCACCGGTGACAAGAAAATTACAGGTTTAAACGCCAGGTTCCAGATCAAATCTGCTGTGTTCAGTACCTAACAAAACAAATGACTGTCTTCTTTGCTAAATTTTAAATGCTAATTTATTTAAAGGTGCTTTAACCTAATTTATTTTCATAACTATATCTTCAATATTATAACAGTTCCCGCTGCTACTTTATGACACAGAAAGCAATTTTTATCAATCAAACAAAAATAAGGAAAAACACTAAGAAAGTGTCAAAGTTTATCATCGTTCTATTGTCAAAACTTTTAATTTTTAAGGTCATTTACTTCCTTCTGGCTCCAGTGTAGGGTAAGCTGATAATGAGGGAACCATGGCCTTGAGTGGGCTTTTTACAGTTAACTAAAATCAGAAAATTAACGTTTTCCCACTCAATTATTAGTTGTTTGTTTTTAAATAAAACTCTTTGAAGAAATAGTGAACTAATATAATAAGCTGGCAGAGTCTGAACATTTTTGTAAAACCTTACAGTAAGATATCAAATGAACACTTCAGTGCATTTCCTCCCTAATTTCCAATTTTCTACTCTTTTATTTTCACATACTTTAGAAAAGAAATCATTAGCACCTCTTAGCAAATTCCTTTGCTCTGAATGCTCTAGCCTGAGGCTCAAGGTCTGAGCTCTGGGGTTTAAAATGCCTTTCAACCTGCCGTTTTCTATGGCATTTGGTGAATGTGTCTGGGACTGCCACTGGCTCTGTCACTCAGTTATTCTCCATGCTGATAACCAGCCCCTTCTTGTCCCTAGGCTGGAAGGCTCTTTCAGTGTGGAAGAAGTGGGGGGAGGTCCAATCTTCACAAAGCCAATTGGCTAGCCATCTACTTCACCTTCTCCTGAGATTCCTGCCTCTCAGAGGCCTCCGCCTTGCAAAAAGCCTCCTTGTTGACCATTGAGCATCCAGAAACACCCATACATTCAAGATTAAGGGGACAGAATTATTCCCAAACCACACTGACACACACTCTTCAGCTCTATTCTTTTTTATGAAAAAGTAAAAACCAACTATATAATTTAAATGTATCTCAGCAGAATCCCTCAGAATTTAACTCCTAACTCTGGACCCTTCCACCTGGAAATCTACTCTAAGGATAGACCCACACACAGAACAATCCATTCTGCTATAATAACACAACATACATATAACGCATGTTATAAATCATTGCACTAAGCAAACTCAGTCAGTACTACAGGGCTACCATCCAAAATTAAGCTAAGGGCATAATACTCAAAAACTCTGTCAATGACATATTTAATAAAACAGTAGCATGGTTTTATACATGTCAAGTGGTTAAGAAATAGACAGATACTGCAAAATCAAAATGGCACTTTACCTTGAAAAAGACCTGCAGTTTGCTTGTGGAAGTGGGCGTCAGAGGGCTGTGGCTTGTTGAGTTTTTGTGAAGTGGTGGAAGAAGGGTTATCTGAAATTGGAGGGTCGGAGGGAAGTTGTAACACCAAGTATGGACCAGTGTGACTCAAAACAGGGGAGATGGGGGAGCAGGTGGAAGTCTGGGGATGTGCGTGTTCTGTTCATTGCTACACAACTCCATTCCACATTTCTCCGCACTCACCTAGTGCTTCTCAGGGATGAAATCACACATGAGCACACTCAGACTTCGGGTTATGCTACAACTGTTCCCTGATGTACCCACTGCACTGGAACAAATTTGTGTTTTCAATACCAGAGTTATAACAGCACTGACTACACACGGTTATTCACTGCAGCCCTGTGCAAAATTGGGGAAAATCTGGGTCCATCAAAGAAGAACTGGTCAAATACAGTATAAGCCCTCATACAACACTCTGCCATGTGGCTATAGATAAGAATGGAAGATCTCAATGTACCGGTATCAAAAGAACTGTACCACATACTATATGGAGAAAGAACTGTAAAATTATGTTAACAAGCTGTGTCCTGTGTTAGAAACGGTAAAAATGAAACATATGCATACATGATGATACTTATATAGAGAAACTTCAAGATGCATAAGAAACCCAGCGACTGCGGGTAACAAGGGTAGGGACAAGGCTTTTCACTGTACTCTTTCATATTGTTTGGATTTTTGGGTGAAACACATGAATATAGCACATATCAAAAAAAAATTTTTGTTGCCTCAAAAAACAGTCATGTTTACCAAGGTATAATTTGCAAAATGTAAACGTCATTCTTTTCAATGTATAGTTCTATGAGTTTTGACAAATGGATGCAGTTGAGTAACTGCTACTACTGTCAAGCTATAGAACAATTCCATCACCCCCCAAAATCCCCACATGCCCCTTTAGAGTCATCCCCTCTTCCTACGCTCAGCCCGTGGCAACCACTGATCTGATTCTCCTACACTTTTGATTTTCCACTTAAGCAAATGGAACCGTATAGAAGAGCAGGTGGTTTCTGAGTCTGGCCTCTTTCACTGAGCGCGGTGCATCTACTATTCATCCGTGTCAGCCAGGCGTGCCTTTCCACGGTGGAGCAGAACTCCACTTGGATATACTCCAGTTTATCCACTTACCAGGTGAAGGACGGCTAGGTTGTTTCCAGTTTGGGGAAATTAGGAATTAAAATGAACGTTTATGTACAGGTTCTGGTGTGAACACAGGACTTTATTTCTCTTGGGTAGACACCTAGCAATGGGAATACTGAGTCATATGGTAAATTAAATAAGAAACTCTCACACACAGTTTTCCAGATTGGCTGGGCTTTCCCTTTCCACCAGCAATGGATAGGACTCCAACTGCTCTGCAACCTTTCCAACAGCTGGTGTTGCTATTTTATTTTATTGTAGCCATTGCAGAGGGTGGTCAATGGTGTTTCATTGTGGTTTTAATGCATATTTCTCTAATAACTAATAGTACTAAGGTAAAAAAATTTTTAATTAACAGATGAAAC